CGAGCGCTCTGGTGTTAAGTTCTTTTTCATTTAAACTTTCCTTTAGCTCTTGAACAACCTGTTTTAACTCATTCTCTTTCCCTTTTGCTTCCCCTAATTCTGCCTTTTGTGAATTTACTACTTCCTTAAGTTCCGTCAACTGTTCTGCCACTTCCTCCTTTTTTAGTGTCATGTCTTTCAGAAGCTCCAGTCGCCGGGATGCTTCCTCTTCTGTGATTGCTCGACCTTTCTCCAACTCGTCTATCTCTGTTTCTCTCTCATTTAGCTTAATCTGTAAAGTGACCACATTTTCTTCCAGCTTTTCCTGCTTTTGAGCTGTTTCGAAATGGTTCTTTTTGAGCATCTTAATCTTTTGTACCAAAATCTCGATTTTACCCTCTTTCGCATCAGAATCTCGCTTCAGCATATCTAACTGGTGAATGAGATTTCGTTTCGCTTCATCTGATAAAGCTTTTCCTCTTTCGGCCGACTGCAACAAAGACTTGACTTGACTGAGATCTTTTAACTCTCGTTCCAACTCCTCACACTTATGTGTTTTTTGTCGCAAAGTTTGCTCTTTTTGTTCCGCTTCCAATTTTAGCGATAGATAAGTCTCTTCTAATTCTTTCCAACTGAGTCTCTCGCGAGTTAACGAACCTTGAATCCTCTGTTTTTCATCATCATGTATTTTCAACTCTTCATCGCGCTTCTCCAAACATTTTGTCAGCTCAGACAACTTGTTTTCCAGCGATATTTTTTCGTCTTCAAGTTCTTTCAAATCGTGTTTTAGTTTCGCTTCATTTTCACTTGTTTCTTGGATAACAGTCGCTAAGTTAACTTGCATGTCTGCTGTATCTTTTTCCAAACTTTCCAATGTACTCTTTAAACCTGAAATCATATCCTCCTTTTTTCGCACAGCTAGACGATATTTCACGGCGTTTTTTTGTATTATAGCCTTCATTCTTTCGGCAACATTTTCTCTTTCTTTGAATCCTTCTTCGGCCGACTGAATTACACTCTTTACTTCTACAGCGTGTTTTTGTTCTTCTTTGTTTACCCGGGAGTGAAGTTCCCTGATTTCTGTCTCAGCATTCTCTAATAGCTCTGCTTTCTCTCGTAAGTTAATTTCAAGTTCTGCCATTCTTTCCTTGCTTCCAGTAAGCTCCTGTTCCTTTAGTCGCAGTATTTCAGTCTGATCCCTGATTTCTGTTTCAGCATTCTCTAACAACTTTACTTTCTCTCGTAAGCTAACTTCAAGTTCTGCCATTCTTTCCTTGCTCTCAGTAAGCTCTTGTCCCTTTAGTCGCAGTATTTCCGTCAGATCCCTGATTTCTGTTTCAGCATTCTCTAACAGCTTTGCTTTCTCTCGTAAGTTAACTTCAAGTTCTGCCATTCCTTCCTTGCTCTCAGTAAGCTCCTGTCCCTTTCGTCGCAGTATTTCAGTCAGATCCCTGATTTCTGTTTCACCATTCTCTGACAGCTCTACTTTCTCTCGTAAGCTAACTTCAAGTTCTGCCGTTCTTTTCTTGCTCTCAGTAAGCTCCTGTCCCTTCAGTCGCAGTATTTCCGTCAGTTTGTCCATTTCTGCCTTACATTTTTCCATTTCTTTTTCCCTCTCGTCGCTTTTTTGTAGTATGTCCTTGTTATCAGCTATAAGTCCCGCAAGCTTTTCTTCTTTTTCCCGCAAATTTCCTTCAAATGTCTCCTCAAGAAAATAGATCTCCTCCTCTCTAAATTTTAGCCTTTTTTCCAGAGTTTCTCTCTCTGAGTGGAACTCCCATTTTGCTTCTTGCAATGATTTCTTAAGTTCTTCAATTTCTTCCTCTTTGCACTTTCCCGTTTCGTCAAAGGATACTTTCACCTCTTTCAGAAGATTATCTTTGGCTCTCAGGGCTTCTTTCCAGAATTGTTCCCGCTTCTCTACCTCTTTTTTCCAACCCCTGGTACTTTTATCAAATTGTTCTTGCAATATGTCAAAATCTTTTTGTTTCAGGGAAACAGAATTTGTTAAAGACCTCTCTAACGCCTCTTTTTCAGCGTTTCCTTGTGCATACTTTTCCTTTAGTATTTCTAGCTCTTCAGAGAGCTGATCCAGCTCCACAGCCAATTTGTGTTCTTGCTGTTTTGTATCTTCTAGTAAGCTGCTTAAGTTCGCTACGTCTTTCTCTCTCTCATCAAGGTCGATCTTAAGTTTCTCATTCTCTTGCTGAGTTTCTTCGAACTTTTTTTCTAATTTTTCTATCAAATCCGCTTTATTCCGCTCTTTCGCAGCCCTATGCTCCATTTCCAAAGAAAATCTCCTTTCAGAAATGATCAATTTTTCCTTCAACATGTTGTTCTCTCGATCTCTCTCCCGGATGACAAATTCCAGACTCTTTTGTTCTTGGGAGCAATCCGCGTTTTCTTTACGAAGCTGGCCAATCACGTCTTCAAGGTTTAGTCGAACAGAGTCTAACGACTGAAGCTTGTATTCAAGTTCGCAACAAATGCTGCCTTTACTCTCTAGCTCACTTACCACTCGTTTCACTTCATTTTCAAGGGAATTTCTCTCCTCCTCTATCATCTTCATGGCACATCTCCAGTTATCAAGGTCTTGTTTCAGTGAATTGCATTCCTGCTGCAAGAGTTGTTTCTCCTGAGATTCTATCCCAAACTTTTTCTGAAGGTCGCTTATTTTGTCTTCTTTAGCTCGGACATCACCTGATAACACCTGTTTGTCATTCAATTCATTCATCAAAGGTTTATCTGAATTGCTTTCTTTCTTGTCCTCTTTCTGAGACAGCTCGCTTGCCAACTGTGCCTCGATGAACCCGAGTTTGGCAGACAATTCCTCTATGCGTCTGTCCTTTTCTTTTATCATCATTTCTGTTGATATCAGCTGCTTTCCTTTCTGCTCTAAAAGTTGCTGCTGGCATTTATGAACCACTTCCATCTCATTTTTACTTGACTCAGAAACGGAACGTAAAGCTTCTTCCAGTTTCTTCCTCTCGTCCTTGTGTTCTACTATCATACTTTGTAATTTAGTAACAGAATCTGTTAACAGCTCAATTTCTGCTTCTTTACCGGTTAACTCTGCTTGAAGGCGTTGAATATCTTTTTCTTTTCGTTCGTTTTCTTCAACTTTAATGGTTATAAAATTTTCTGACGATTCTTTAATCATCGCCATCTGCTTTTCCTTTTCTTCTATTACGCTATCGAGGGTGCGCTTTGAACTTTCATTGTCTTCATTTTTTTCTTCGATAAGCTCTGATAAAATCGCTTTTAATTTGGCCAATTCCTGTTCCAGAGCCTTGACAGTCTCCTTGTTTGATTTTTCAAGTTCTTCTATCTGTATTTCCTTATCCCGCAGCCTTCCTTGGTACGAATGCAAAACCTCTCTTCCCTGAGCATGGGACTTTTTTGCCTCCTCGAGCCAGATTCTCAACCTCGTCACTTCTGCGTCTTTCGCGCGTAACTTACTTTCCGTTGATTTTTCCGCAGAGGCAAGAATCTCCTCTCTGGTCGCCATAAGTTCATCTAGAGAACGTTTCAGTTCGGAAATCTCGCTATTCTGGACACTTATTGTATTTTCGTAGGATATTCTGAGTTCTTCTACTTCGGTGTTTCGCGATTCAACAGCTTCCTTAAGAGCAGCTTTAAGATTAGCGACCTCGCCGACCTTGATTTTATATTCTTCCTGCCAGTAGCTTCGAATTTCTTTAAGTTCTTTCTCTTTTTCATCGAAAACATCTTTGGCAGTCTTCCTTAAGATATCCCCACCTCCTCTTTCTCCAGAAGGTCCAGGTGAGTTTCTCATCTTATTTCCGCTTCGTGGAAAACAGCCGAGTTGCTGGGTGGCCTCGAATCGTTCTTTTCCCCCTGGACTCAAAGTCGTTTTCTTCATGTTTAAGAAATAATCTCGTGCCAGGAATGCAACGCTCAATAATTATGTTTCCCCTCGGAGTCTACATATTTCTACGAGTAATTCGTTCGAGTTTTTGCAAGGCTTAAAATGAATTACCTCACGTCGAGACGTTTGTGACGTCATTATAATTAGCTCAAGCGCGCGCCTATTGATTAACGACTAATCTTAGCGGCTAAACGAACTTATTATAAAGAAATGCGCAGCAGCGTGCGAAATTGATCATTACCAGGAAACCGATTTCCAAGTGAGATTCGAGCGTGCGTCTTCATAAACTAAAACAAACAAACAAAACCTATAGGCTAGAAATCCGCGACAGCGTACTAAAAAACCTGTGTCGAATATGGAAATTTCTGACCTGGAAATCCGATTACTACCCGCCGTGACGGAAACGTGACATTTCCAGAACAACTCCAGGCGTTATTCGTGACGGCTGTCACGTTCGACCGTCATGGACATTGGACCATCACACCAGTGTCCCATAAAAAAGCAAAAAAAAAATTATAAATAATAATAAAAATAACAACAATAATGATAATAATGAACAGTCAGTAGACAGAGGTAGGCAAACACAGACGTTCAGTTGAAATTCTTCCTCATGTATGTTCTCGAAAATCTAACCGACATATGAAGCTCGCCTATTTTTTCACCTTCAGCCACGAGCCAGTGGAGAAGCACAACACAACCTGACTGTTTGCAATCATTTATAACATACTTATTCAGATGATTAATTTTTGCGCACGTGATGGATTCAGATCCTTTCTTTTGAGTCCAGGAATTACTCTAACAAATTTTTAACTGATGAACCCGGCGATAGGGTTTGGTGGGCTTGCGTGCCTAGATTAGCAATGAGCTACAGTGTTTAAAAACCACAAGCCTTCCTTGACTGCGAACGGCGTGTAGTTTCTGTACGGTATTTAGCTATTAGCTTACCTTTGATAAAGATGGTAATTTTCAGCAACCATCTGTCATCAAAATTGAACCATACCCAGAAAGATGACACGTAATGTCCGAGTTTCGCGCCTTTCCGTGCGTTCGGTACGCGCCCGTAAGGTCTGCGGTACTCTCAACATGGACATGAGTAAGACCCGACTGTAGTTCTCAGACCTCTTTCAGTAAAATCCAATATGGCTTCCATGACATTCTAGTTTAAGCCACACTCGGCTCGAAAATGTCAGTCTGTAGAGTGAATTACCTTGTCTTCTAGGTTTTTGGCTCATATACCTAAGAAATACTTGGGAAGGGTTCTACATTCAGTGATTACTGGCTACAGGAGTGGGCATTTTGGAGAGAAATGTGCTTACATTTCTTATAGATGACCAGCTTTCGGCAGTAGCTGTACATTTAGTGTAATATTATTTTGGTTTTGTATAATGTTTGCGTTGTTTTCTGGGCTATGGAAATACCTTTTCCAAAAGGACGAATACTGTATTCTAATCCTTGGCTTGGACAATGCTGGGAAGTCGGTAAGATATTCTGGTAATTTTGTAAACCACCAGATAGAATTAGATAGTATCGTTCACGACCTTTCAGGTGACGTAACAAGTAGGCAAAAACAATAATCCGTATTTCTGAAAAGACTTGAAATCATGGCATTACATGTTTGCAACTGACTAACTATGAAAACGGTGTTTTGTCCATCTGCCTGATTAATTGGTTTGATTTTCCACGTTGATCTACACGTATGTTCGTCCAAACGGCAAAATTACATAATATTATCTGTACTATCCCATGCACAGCGAGCCCAATTTCTAATACATTACATTCTGACAAGTCTTGTTGAAAATTTATTGTGAAAATTTTAAATTTCAAACTTTGGACAACTGCTTTAATTTTATAACCCCAAGATCTGGAGGATTCCAGTCTTTTTCATCACCAGAGTTACAGAGTAAGCCATCAGTATAATGCACCGCACCTCAAATTGATTTTGAATTTTGAGTGTCTCAAACTGTTGATAAGTATAGAACATAAGAAAATGCTTACTTCAAATTGTAAGTAGATTTTCTACATTCCGTCACACCCAGCCAAATATAATTGAAATAGTGGTGTCTTAGTCACACAGAAAATGGAAGTAAAGAATTACTCTGTACCAGGACTTTGATACCAGCTGTTGACCCTTTGACTGCTAAGAGTGATTGGCATCTAATTTTTTTCCTCAATATCACCCCTGAATCGAGTATGAAAGTCATGAAAACAATATCTAAAGAGGTTCTTGATTACCCAAAAGTTCTCCTTGTTAGCATCCTAGGAAATGTATAGAGAACAGTTTGGACATTACGCATAATGAGGCTAGGGTATTAAGGGTTGAATATGTGTAAGTGCAGAATTAAATCCATGAGAGATGGATTTGAGTATGACGATCATGAAGGATATTTTTGTGGTGGGTTTAACTTGGCAGAGCCAATAAGGAAACTGACAAAAATTTCCTTTACTCCAGTTTAAAAATACTTTTTATTGATAAAGGAAGATGTAATGTCCCAACTTTTGCTTTAAAAGAGAAAAGAAAACAGATTATATTGTTGCCCGTGGACAGCTCTGTTACTGCAACTCACCAAGAAATTTCACTGTGCATGGTAGAGTCTTTAATCAAGAATCAAGTCTGTGGTCAGTAGCAGAACCAGTTACATGTACCACAGACAACTAATTTTAAACTAGTTAACTCAAAAGATAAACACCTCAGACTTACCAGACACACCAAATAATTATCTATCTTAAACTCCACAACTAGCAAAAACTACATTGAGAATTTTAAAGGACCAACTGATTTCTGTAAGCTCTTACTGTAGTTAACTGATATAATAATGTTGTTATTGATTTCCATCATTATATCTTTTAGACTCTACTTGAACAGATAAAACGAATGTATGGCAAAAACTACAGTGGTTTACCATTTGAAAAGATCACAACAACTGTTGGACTCAATAGTGAGTTGCTTTAATTTCTTTCTTAAAACAATGTAAAAAGATGCTGTGGCGTATTTGCAAAAGCAATCAGAATGGAATGATCAATCCATACAGATGTGAATTTAGTGAAGAATTTATATCATTTTCAATACAACTCTGCAAAACTGGGTTTGATCACAGGCACCAGCTGCTTTGGAGCTGGGTCACTTAACCCCTTAACTCCTAAGATCTCATTAGTAATTCTCCTTATTGTCTGCCAAATGATTCTCATTATGTTAGTTTGGAGAATTTGGTATCGAATCAATTAGTAATCCCATAATTGATATTTTTCTTTATTCTCATCCCTTGTCTGCATGATATTGTATAGATATAATAAGTGGAAATTCTGTCTTGGTCACTTGTGGGAGTTTAAGGGTTAATGTTGGATGTACATACAAAATCTATGTTCATTGATCAACAAGAAGACCAATGATAATGAAACATTAATTTTGTAACTTTTGTTTTCTTCTGTGAGCAGTTGGAAAAATAAACATGAGTCATGTGAAGTTGATATTTTGGGATCTTGGAGGTCAGCAGGAGCTACAATCCTTATGGGATAAGGTACAACTAATATAACCAACTAAGTTCCTGGTGAATGACCACACTTACCTATGATGTAGATAATGTACGAGCATAGGATTATAATAATATAAAGCCTAAAATGATATACATGTAACCATACTATATGAGCATTTCCTGCACTAGGAATACGAATGCACAAGAATTTACAATCCACAAAATACTTTCACCTATGCATGATTGGTGTGACATCATTATAAGATACTGCATTTTGTAATTGTTGCTCTTTTGATACTTTGTTTAACTGGTACTTTCAATTTAACTTTCCGTTAGTAATTGAATCAAGAGGGTGGCTTTTACACTGTGCACTGTACATCTCAATGTTCTCCCTTATTTTACGCATGACAGGTAAAATAAATTTTCAACCCTGTAAAGCAACCCTTTTACCTGTTGAATTTTCAAGAATTTAAGCAATTTTAAACAGTAATAAGAGGTATTACAGGCAGTAAATGTTACCAGTTACTGCCTGAAAAGGAGAACACTGCATCTTGGTGGACTTGTACTTGAATATGTCATAATCTTCCTGTAGAAGACATGTAGAAAAAATTGGTGGAAAATTACACATATATGCTTGTACTTGGCTTTTACAATTACTATTAATACTGTATTCAGTAAAAATTTTGAGCCTCAATGTAAATTGTATGATTTTTCATTAATTCCTAGTACTATGAAGAATGCCATGGTGTTATCTTTGTTATCGATTCCACTGATGAGATCAGAATGGAGGAATCTCATCAGGCTTTCAGTGAGTGTTCACATTTATATTATATTTGGAGTATTATAAGTTAGGACTGTTAATCACCCTCCATGCTGCTTTTTGTGTGTATGTCATTTTCGTTCACTTGCTGATTCAATCTTTAAGTCTAAAGTAACAAAGCTTATTATTTATTTTTGTAGACAAAGTAGTTCAAGATCCTCAGTTACAAGGAATTCCTTTGCTAATTCTTGTGAACAAGCAAGATCTAGAGGTTTGTCAAAAAATTCCTTGTACTAGCATCAATATAACCTGAACACTGTTTGTAGGGTATGTTGTGGTTCCTTGTGTTTTGCCTTATTTTTGTACTCCTTCACTGGTGTACTTGCACTTGGAGACATGTATGCTATGATTATGCAAAACAAAGGAGAAAGTTGAACCACACCAAATACAACAGAATGTGAAATTAGCAGTCATTTAGGGTGTACATACTGAAGCTATGTGTACAATCGGCAACAAAATTGTCAACATATTGATTTTTTCAACCCCTTGTTACTTCAGTTTTATCTCTACTGCCTTTGTTAAGTTAACTTATTTGCCCCCCTCCCCCCCAAAACAATGTTGTATGGTGATTCCATGGACCTTTAGCTACATGCAGGCAACATTGAATGGGTAAGGGGGGGAGGGGTCTTGTCAATGATTTAGATTGTGGTAGAAACAGGAAAATAATGTGTCAAATAATTTTGACACTGATTACAACTTAATGATACTAAATTGAATATAGCTGTACCTGGTGCTGTATGTTGTTGGGTATTAAACTGTATAAATTTCTAATTTACAATACCATTGTGTAGTGTCTACACTAAATAAATCAATGAAAATTTGAACCTTGTATCTAGATGATAACTACACATATTTATTTTGCTTTAAAAGGGTTCTCAGGGAGTGGAAGCCATTAAAAATTTCTTCCATGACGACTCTTCTAGCAATGGGCAACTTGATTATTTTATTCAGCCAACATCAGCTTTAAGTGGGTGAGTAAAGAAATGTTGCTTTGTGAAACTAGCCAACTGATTTTTCTCAACAATATCAATTTCTTTAATTGTTGTTCATGCTTATTGTGGTAATTATTAGGATCTTCAACACTGTCTTTTAACCAATTGTTATACTCTGAATCCTCTCATTCCTTTACATGTACTTAGTCATTCTTTCATGTAGATCTCAGTATTTAAACATTATTTTGGATGTATTCCAATCTGGATTTATTTTACAGCTTTTATTGTAAATATAATTCACACCAGTGCTGATAATGGTGATGATGACAATGACGCTTACTATAATTGTAACATATGCTATTACCATTCTTGTTTGGCTGAGTTCTTTGTTATTTATTTGTAACTTCAGAATTGTAGTTCCAGTACATATGCAATGTACAAGTTGTTCTTTTTTATCAATGCACATCTCCTATTTGTGTATTGTAGTATCACTGCCAGTAACATGTACTTGTACATATAACTTACACTTATTGCAAAAAGATATACATTGGTGAAACAGGGAGAGGACTACTGTAGGTGCCCAATTCCTAAAACACCTTTGCAATGTTGAAAGAGATAATCAGGACACATCCAAACCAGCTGCTAGACACATTAATCTCTGTAGTCACTCTAAGCAGCACATGGCAGTCTGGGACCTTTCCTTACATCTAGGCAGTTCGGAAAGCTGCAAAACTCTAGAACAAAAACTTATCTTCAAATTGGCACTCTTGATCCCCACCACATCAAGGGACACTTCATTCAACTAATTTATTCTTGTTTTTCTTGTCACCGTGTTCCCACCAATATCATAGTTCCACTTTCTGCATATAAATGCACACACAACCCACAATGCCTCCATTGGCTCTGACAAAGGGCTAAAGCTTGAAACATCAGCTTTGGAACTCCTTATGGTGGCTAAGTTAGAAATACATTATTTATCAAATCAGCTGATAAAATCAAATTATCTTGTTATACTCCCTTACTGATGCAGCAATTTTTATTTTTGGAAACTTACCCCCTTTTATACTTGCTCAAATAGTTATCTGAATCAATTTCTAATATCTTTAGCTAATCAAAATGAGTGATTGTTAGGACTCCAGGTTCTCAATTTGCATACATACACAATCCCTTACACTTGGCACAATTTCAAAATAACTTGATCCTGGTAGCTTACAGAAACACTGATGGCCCACTATAAATGGCTCATCCCAACTTTTCACAAACTCTGTGCTTTATGTTGAAAATGAAACCATTCTCACATGTAGTTAGGCATTACTCCCATATTTCAACATTTCATCTTCTGCCCATGCTGCAAAATGACACATTTGAAAATTATCAAACATTAAGGGCTGCTTTGAAGAAGGTCTAACCCAAGTTGCAACTTTACACAGACAGTGGGTTAATTTAATTAGATAAATGTCCTTCCTGTTAACTTTTGGCCCTCTTGACACTGTTCACAAAAATGACAGTTTACTTAAATAGATAAAAGGTTCAAAAAAGTTGAAGATAGTTTAGAACACCATTTTATTAAACAATGGCTGAACTTTTTTTTACATAACCTATCCTTAGGTTTGCTTTGCTTCCCTTGGAACATAACAGGATTGTTATCAACATAGACATGTTATGGGTCACCATGTCTACAATTTGTTCACATGTACATATTCAATTTGGTGAACAAAAAAAACAATGCCCAGTGAGCTGGAATTAAATTAAATTTTAAAAAAAGGCCTTCCTTTTGTACATGTAGCTTCCTGCATTTACACAACAGGAAATAATTGTCATTCACACAGTTAAAACCACATGGCTGTTTTAAATACCCACTCAAAACCTGAGGGGCTGGGTTCTTTTATCTTGGAAATATTCTAAACAGTCCAACTTTACATGCCTCATTACCCTCCCAAATTTTAAAAAAACTCCTCTCCTCTTTGAAATTAAATTAAAATGGTAAAAACATTTCCTTGATGTGCTGTGCTGTATAAATTGGGAAATCTTCAATAGCCTGGGAAAAGAGAAATTTTAAACTCAGGATTATCAGACATTTGCTGTAATATATTAAATTTTCTGATAAGGCTGCTTTAAAATTAAAGCACTTACAAAAAAATTTAGGGCAACGTACTATTAGGCGTAAAAGTTCTCTTGCTCTTTAATGTACATGTACATATATATTGAATGACTGGCTACAATGGGTACACACTGGCTTCCTGTTTACACTCATTTTTCAAAGACTTGTTGGGAGCCTTTGTCTTCAGGACATCATGGAAGCATCAACCACAATATACCTTTAATTGAGAAAATTTTTCCTAAGTGGTTTTCCATTGTGAGACACCTGCACATTTCCTCTCCTTTAAAGATTTTCTTACTTCTTATAATTGTGTATTAAACAGTTAGCTTCTCTCACTGTTAGGTTAAAATGAGAAGTTTGAGGCTCATCTAGATTTTTTCTATGCTTGGATTCAAATCAATTTCTATGTGATGATTTATGACAACTGTTCCAAGATCTCACCATCACATATCCCACATTTTTGGTTTATATTACAGCAAATTATTCTTCCATTGTTAATGGATTTTCTCCTTTAGAATTACTTGTAGTTTAACTTTAAGTGACACTGTACCAACTAAAATCATAATACCATACAGCACTTTCACTTCTGATGATTGTATACCATTGTCCATGATAAACTTTTTAGGTAAGGGACCTGTCAGTATTTTTTGCAGGGGAAAAGGGGAGGGGGGCGGGGACAGAGGATTTTTGAGGGGATCACATGGTTATCAAGGGCAGTGGAGGGGGAATCAGTCATTGCTAACAGAGCATAAAGGGGGGGGTTACAGAAAATTGACTAACAATTAGGGAGGAAGGGGTGATCAGGTAAATTTTATTGTGACAGAACCCAAGTACTCTCCCCAGGTGATAATAATGACTAGTCCCTGAGATTATGTTTTTTCTCCTTTTTTTTCGTAGAGATGGGTTAGGTATTGGAATTGAATGGCTTGTACAATCAGTAAAACGAAATCTGGAACGACCGCCTCGACAGAAAGATATCACATAACTTAAACCTGATCATAAAGGAATTTCTTATTACAATAACTCTAAATTTCCAAGCGGAAAGGTGATGAGAAGAAAGAAAATATCAACAGGGAATGTTTTTTTATTTCATTAGCGTTAAATTCTCAGAGCTCAAATGATGTTAAAAAACAAAACAGTAGACAGTGCGGAGAGTTGAAATTTAGATCTCAAGAGTGAATGGGCAACATAAGCTGGATAAAAAAGGCATACATTTTTGTTTTTTGTTTTTGTTATTTTCTCTTAATTTAAATGAAAATTTGGATTTCTTATTCACAAAATGTCCAGAGTTATACGAGTTATTATAATGTGCATTATATCAAATATACTTAAAATTTATTCGGATGATGTGCGTGATAAGAATAGCGTACTCATACAAGTCAGAGGTATTCAGATATAACAGAAAAATGAATATGCATCGCATTTAATTTGTACAAAAAGCAATGTTAGAGATGATGTAGGTACTGCGTAGACTACATGGCTTGGGAAAAAGGTCATAGGAAATTTCACGTCATGCTACGAGTAAATGTAAGAAAAAATGTTTGTACAGTATTTACAAGTGTTTGTTGCCTATTTAGTCAATGTGCCTAGCTGTGACATTAAGTTTGAAAGACATTGAAGTACAAAACTCTTACTTCGCTGTTAATCAAACAAAAAATTCGCGTGACTTTGTACTGATCAGCGGTTGTTAGCCAACTTTGTCTGTTGATTCCTGTCATTCTGATTGATGGTGTTCTGAGTTCTGAACTTTACTATTCGAATGTTACTGACAAACGCAGTAGAAATTTTTTTACGTTGTGGCATTTGCCTGGTGTGCATTAATATATTTTTTTTTTAACGTAACCTAACCCGATTCAGGAGGCCGTAACAAAATTAATGTTTCTTTTTTTTATTATTCATTAACCGTAAACTGACTTTCATATTCACTGTAAGAGAGATTATTATATAATATTTATTCTTACCCAGGTTTAGGAATATTAAAATTGTCAAGCGAATTGGATGAGAAAAAATAAGTATAAACTGTCTGAGAATGATCACAAAAGTGTAGCTTTGTAACATTCCCTTTTACCCACAAATAATAGCGAGGAACAAAGCGAAAATGTCGCTGCCATCACTAAAGATGGTAAACATTTTTATCTTTGCTATGGTTTACTAGAAAACAGATGCCATGTTTCGTGAAAGATGAAATTTTTGCGAGTGCGTCTGAAATAAGGCCATCTACATGAAGCTAACCTGATTGCACTACATCAGCTATGGGGTTTTAGTGGTAGGGCAACGACCTCTATGTTATTGAAAAGAATCAGTCTCTAAGCTCTTGAAAAAATTACTTCCTGAGGTGCTTATGTAGCTGGGGGTAATCTGAGGTGGTGGTGTTTGTCTGACCTTGGGAATGTAGAGGATCACAATCTTTCACGATGAATCTTATAATCAAAATGCAACTGTATCACTGAACATAAACTATACAATAGAAATACCCTTTAAGTTTAAAGTTACCTTTAAGTGTCAGCAAAATTTGGTAGCATTAATTTTTTAGTGAAGAATGTATATTAAGATTAGTTAAACTTTAGAATAACAATACCGGGATGTATTTGAAGTCTGTAACAATCTAATTTAGTTTAAGGAAAAAAACAGCTTGCAATGTCCACGCCTATGTTTATATAGCTGGTCTGAATGTTTACACTACCTATCAAGGTTTGCGTTCAGAGGGGTATAAATCCTGTGTAAAAAAGAAAAACAGGGAACGTAATTTTAAATTAGATAATTGCTATCAGTTGTACTTAATGCAGCTATAGCATTTAATTCTTGACAAATGATGAATTAACGCATTTGCCGAAACATGATTATTTCAGCGAACCAGAGATCTTATTATGTTTAGAAAAGTTGAGAACAAACGATGGAGAAGAAATGACGGAGGAGAACTCAGTCATCTCTTTATATATTAAAATCTCTTTATATATTAAAAAATAAATAAATGAACAGCAGTTCTAACGAAGGTAACAGTAATAACACTGGTTACAGTGCCTAAAAAAACGAAACTTGGTTCTAATTATTGGCTACAAACTCAGATATGCGTACCCCCGCAACAAGTGTTCCCAAGCAAAGCTTAAGTCGAGTGCGCGGTGCGACAGCGAAGACTAAAAGCAATCGCCGCATTTGGGTGATACAGAGGATTTTCCTTTGGAAAGTGTCAAATGTGAGGTCTCGGACATACAAAGTGATTTTTTTTTTGTTGAAACTGAGGGTTGGTTCTGCCGCACGAAACAATCGACAACATCGAACTAATCATGCCATGCAAAATTGTCTTTTGCGGGACTCGGTGATTATACTAACAAAGCGTCATTGTTCAGTTATTCAAAGTGAAAAAAAGCGTGTTGTGTATTGCAGCATGCTCGCAGATAAAAGAAGCCCTAAAAGATTGTACTGTGTTTTTTCAGTACAGTTAACTGAATTCTCCCGCACAAATGCACAACCATTAGAAGTGACTTTTCTCACAGACACTGCAGAACAAGGTTTGTCACCTTTAGGTCTAGCTACTGACATAATATGAAATTCTGCGGTTTGCATAGAGACCAAATCAGCAGAGCGGTTTCAAAGTAGGGAAGGGGTGCACTATTTTAGTGGAGTGAAACAGACTGAGCTTCAGTATTCCAAAAAACAGAAAGGTTTTAGCGCGTCATATACATTTCAATGAAGTATACTTAAAAAAATGTGTATTGTTCATAAGTACGCCCTTGGTTGGGTCTGATTCACTCGCTCTTATTATTGATAGGGGCTGTACCACAACAAATTTCCTTTGGTACAGACACAGAGGAGTACGACCTATCGCCTGTAGGTCTAGAGAATTACAGGCTGTGAACTGTTGCGGTTTCGTCTCAGAATGCAACACACAACGTGATAATATATTACTTGAAATAAGCGCCTGAGGTAGATGAGATTTTCTCAGTCTATTAACCAGTCGGGTACGGCACATGTGGCATCAGACAGATCGGATAGCACAACTGAAGCATACAAACTGGCGTCGAAACTACGGACGTTTCCGTGTTAACAGAGAGGATATTGTGAGCCTTCCTCACTTTTCGTGTTTAATTGGCTTAAGGTCGAGTATCTTGTTCGTAATTTACTTAGTTGATCTTTTTCGCATGCAGAAACAAAGAAAAGCCGACTACAACTTACAGATCTTGACAGGAAGGAGAAAAAATTTTTGCTAGGTCGGTTTTTTTAAGAATTAAAATGACTAAGGATAAAAGAATTCTTCTCTCGAGAAAAAAAATTCCTTTCCTTCGGCCTTTTTTAAAGTGACACAAGTCTTTCATTAGCACTGCAAATAGCTTATTTCCGGCTAAAACGACAGGAACTTTTGATAAAATTAGTACGTCTTTGACGAATGATATAACTATCCGGAGAGAATTACATTTGTCTCGTTGCTCGTCTCTTACAACCAGAAGGTGAGAAATTTACGGAATTTACTTGAATATAGACGGCCTTTTAGTTTTTTTGCGAGATTTATTTTAGCGTGGCGTGTTTTTGACCTCGTGTAATTCCTGACAAACGGTCATGAATCAAATTATCGAGGTTATTTTTGTACACACGTCATAGGGGAGAGGATAAGACAAATTTGTGATTTCCACGGGATAAGGTTCTTTATTCTTTAGAATTTCTGGTAATCAGCTAACGTGAAAAGAGTCTGAATTATGAACCGGTGCTTTTATGTAAATAGGTTTGCTTCGACGTAACGAAATCCTTCAGGCGCGTTATACTCATGCATGGAATGCACGATCCAGAAAGGTGTCATGAGAGGAAAGCAAAACCTTTTTCAATGAAGCTGGTCGATTTTCTCATATGGGAGTTTATATCTAGCTTGCTAAAGGAAAGGAAAGGAAACTGTAATATCTATCGATAAAGTTTGAAGAGCTGGTAATGCATTGACAACACTTTTTTTTTGAAAGAATTTCTCTCAATTCACGTGGGTGGACTATTTTTTTTAAGTATCACATCTCACTACCCCACAGATACGCCCCTCACATTATGCGGCTTGTAGATCAAACAGGCTACTTACTTTCTAGTTATAGGTTTACAAGTCTGGTAGACAACGTGGCGGTGATTAAATGTGATTATGAACAGGTTACAGTGTCTGGAAACCCAACCAAAAGAAATTAATTGAAGATGTGAAACCGCAAGGCTTGCACGTACATTCCTGAGAAGAAATTGTTCGACGTTCGATGGGAAGAAACTGCAATCTTAGAAAACATGTGTTTTTTACCTTTTTATTTTTTCTTTGATTTTTGTAGATCTGAGGAGACAGGGCATGATCTATAGCAAATCTCCTTGTCATCATGTTAAGTTTTCCAACGATTTCAATGGAGTAATATGCTTGTAGACCCATGATTTCAAGCACTTATTTTACTGGAAAAGAGTATGCTTTTAAAATGTTCCAAAACAAAGTTTACTTTTTCGTTTTTTACTAAGCCACGAGTCCTTGATTTATGTAAGCGCAGAGGAGCTTCGGTGCAAAGTCGAACTTGAGGTCATTTGACGCCACTTCCTTTCTTAGCGATTTCCATCTGCTTGTAGAACCATGATAATCTTCAAGCGTGCGTTTTACTGGAAGAATATGTTTTTATAAAATGTTCCAAATAAACGTTTCATTTTAATTTCCAGTTTTACTAAGCCAAGAGTCTTGTATTCATGTACGTACAGACGAACTTTGGAGGTAGGTCGAACTTGACGCAACTGCGCTCCCCACCGATTTTAATGGTATGGTCTGCTTGTCGACCCATGATCATTTCAAGGAGTCGTTTTACTGGAAGAGTATGCTTTTATAAACTAATCCGAAATAAACATTACCCTGTTGTTATTTCATTGGCCACAGGTCTTATATTCATGTAAGAGCAAGGCAGCTTTGTTGCTGCCTTAGTCGAACTTGACGCCACTTCCCTTGAGAGTGCAATATGCAGTTATCTGCTATCAACATCACATCTCAAATAGGCCATTTTACAGTTTTGCACCTAGTTGCCAATACTTTGATTTTGAGTGAGGCTGAAGGTGACCTTGTTGTGATAGAGACCAGTATCTAGTTAGCATGATAACAAAGTAATTTGCATTTGAAAAGCAGCAAGGTTTGTATCATAACAAGGTCAAACTTAACCTCACTCCAGTTCAAACGCCTGGCAACCAAGCACACAACTGTAAAATGGACTATTAATTTTCGTTTCCCTTGGCAGTAAAGTTGCTAAGGTTCTACTTCTAGTATTCTAATTATACATTGTTGTGTAAACGTAAACTTTTGATTACTTAGTATTTTATACGTTTTTGAACTGCAAGCACAGAAAATTAGAACTGAAATCTCTCTGAACTCTAATCAACCTGTGTTCTTAACTCGCGTAAAACCTGTAGGATACGACCCAATACCTTCATGAAGCGTACAAAGTAGCAGCACGTGTGCTCTGACTATGGCTAACCTTGAACTACCAAACTTGACGTGATGAATAAGAGAACACATTTGTTGTTGGCATTTAAAGACAAAAATGGTCTTTTTGTAGCTTTATATTTTTTTGGTGAAATATTATGTCTGTTGGTTTCCGAGGAATTACGAAAAAAATTTTTAAAATCAATTAATTACAAATCAAACTGAAGTCACCTACTTGCTGATTGACATTGAATCATTCGCAAATATTTAAATATAATTAAGTCAAAGGTGGATCTTCCTCGAGAACTGCAAGGTTTTCATGCATATTTGAACTCATACCTGAGAGAAAAAAAAGGAAAGGCTATACAGAAGAGTGACAATGCAGCTTCCCAAATACCTGGAAGAGAGTGAGGAGTGACTATTCAAGGTTGTTGATACGCCGGTTCCTGTAGAATGTGCCAGATGAATTGGATGAGAAAAAGAAATTAAAACTGTCTGATAATAAACACAGAAGTTTTCGTAGCTTGCCCTATTACCACTAGATAATAGTGTGGAATAAAGCAAAAATGTCATCGCCATAATCAAAGATGGTAGACATTTCTATTTGCGCTATCTTGTTGTAAGGCTTATATGTCACGTTCAGTTTATGGAAGATGAATTTTGTGTGAGCTCGCCTTAAATAAGATCATCTACATGTAGCCCGGAAGAGAAGGAGGGGTGAATAACGAAGGCTATTGATAGGCCATTTCATATAGAACATGCTCTCATACTCCCTCAGCTTTTTTCGGGAGAAACGGACTTAAGACCTAGGGAAGCGACGGTGATTAAGGAAAAGAACACACGTGATGAAATTATTTTGGTGGGGGTTGGGGGCGAAGGAAAGGGAAATTACGCCGAACAACTGTGAAAATATTATTGTGAGTAGAATAAGATAATCAGGCAAGCTCTGTAGAGTGAATCTTTTTGTAATTTAAGTTGTTATTTGTATACATAAGTAGGGAAAGGTGTCCAAGTCGGAGAGCTTGATATCTCTTTTAGGACAATCGACATATTTCTGTCACCACGTCTCTGTACACGTAACGTTTGAAAAATTTTCAAACTTTTCAAGCGTTGTTTAAGGCCTCGTATTTTCGAAGAAACCTTCCAGCCAAAGCACTGATTACGATGGCCTGCTCGAGGGCTAAAAAAACTCTGTTATGAAGGAATAATGTTCTTTACCATGTTATATCTACTGACCTTCTCAAGTGAAAAGAGAGATTACAAATGAGTTTCGTTGGCAAAAGATAACGAAATCTCTTCAGAACATATCTAACCCTACATCGAGTTCTTATAAAAATTATGTCTTTCTATTATCGGTAGCAAGACTACGTCTATCAACGCTCTAAGATTTTCCTCCGCAGAAAATAATTTACTGGAGAGGAATTTGCCCTTGATAACACTTTTTGCGGTTCGAAATTAATTTGCGTCACTCACGTGGGTTGAACTAGGCAAGACGTTGAATTCGGAAATATTTCACCTATTCAAGAGAGAACTTGGTTGAATTAAATCCCATCTGCAAGGTAGTCTGGCATATCTAGACGTTAAGCT